TCCCCAAATCCTCCCTAGAGTGCAAAGCATGACCAACAATAAAATCCAAGATTCTGAAACCATCAATTCCTAATTAAATTGAATCCATTATCAGTGTCTGCCCTTTCAAAATTCTAACATTTTTCTCCTTCCAAACCGCCCAAAAAGAAGTAATCGGAGTCATGTCCACATGTTTCCTCCTGCTGATACTCTTCAACGCCCATAAATTCTCTCTAATCGATCCTGCTTTCACCCACTTCACCTCTAATAACCCATGAATATGGTCCAAAGCTTGTAAATCTCCGAGTATCAAAGGAGTAAATAGTTGCATGTCTCTGCAGTTCTTTTACAAAAAATAACATCCATTTACCAGAACCTTACTCTGTCTTATCAACTTATCAATTGTCAGAATGCACTCCCTGTTGGCCTCCCAAGTAAAAAGAGACACACTGGGTGGGAATTTCACCTTCTAAATTGAGGGTTAGAATGTTATAAAAGCCTTCTTGACAATAGCTATGATTACGTTTTTTTTTTCTGAGAAATTCCGTATAGCAGTCTTATATGTTGAAGCTAACATTATGGACACAGAGTATAATTAATTATGGGAGATCATTCTCGAATTGGATGCCAAAGAGTGTGAGAAAATTAGTTGAATTGACTTAAATTGCTTTTATCCTCTCATATTTATCATCTGACACTCCAGATAGGCAGTTCCAAGCATGGGGAATGAATGGTTGATCTGAAGATGAACATGTTGTATGCCCTCAAACTTGCAGGCAGTCTTGTGTGTCTTTTGTAGTCGATGCACTATGGTGGCAAAACATTGCATATAAAATGAACATTTCCTTTTGGGTTACTGATCATGCACAATCTCCTCCTTTTGATTTGTTTCTATAGCTATTCCGTTGCACTTTCAAAGACACAGGCACCTCATGCAGTGTTGCAAACTTTTTGAAAGATAATGAATGAGATTTTTATTTCTATTTGAATGCTAATTTCTATTTTTGAAGAACTCTCCAGCTCATCGATTGCTGCCGTCACATGTTTTATTGGAATGCATTTTGGCCACATACTTGTTCATTTTAAGGTATGCAATAAGAGCATTTTTAGTTGAAATATGTTTTCATCTGTGTTAAAGTGTCCAGACACTAACAGCTTATGTTCATGACTCCTAATTGTTGGTGCAGGACCACAAGCAGAGATTATTATTGTGGTCCTTGTCTTCCTTCCTACTGTTAATTTCAGGTTACATTTTGGATCTGCTAGGTAAATTGTTTTAGATTTTTTTCACATATATTACAGTTTCCACTAAATTTTATTCTCCTTTTTTCGCTCTAAGCAAAGCTGTGTAAAGAGTTGCAGGAATTCCTTTGTCTAAACCGCTATACCCACTAAGCTATATGTGCATCACAGCAGGAGCATCGGGCTTGCTCTTAACCGTTATCTTTTATCTGGTAAGTTCATTCTCTTGATAAATAAACCCAATGATGTCAAATGACCTCTTTAGTTCTCAGCTGGGATAAAGGGGTAAATATGTCTTATACTTAAATTTTATTATTATTTTATATATATCTAATAATATATATTGATCTTATATCATTATGATTCTAGAACATATGGTTAGTTGGATGAGGACTCTACATGACTAAATCTTGTTAACATTATGAATGGCATGCTCATGTGGTGAATAAGACGACCCCTTTCAATATTTACATCTGTTCATGGTATCAGAGCCTACTCCACATAATTTGTTTTGAATTTTTTTCGTTAACTCACTGGTTTACGATTTAAAAAAAAGAAAGAAAATTCTCCCTGTGTCTGCACTTTCTGCATCTCTCAACAATGTGGCGTGATCTGTCAAACTTTCTCTCTCTTCAAGCGAACAACAGCATGTCTGCACCTTCTGTGTGAGACCCCCTTCTTGCTCTCTCTTCGGGTGCAATTTTTCTCTTTTGTCAGGCAAACCAGAATCACAATTTTTCTCTCTCCTCAGACTGTCAGTTTCTCTCTACTGTCTCTGCATTTTTTATCAAGCACAGGACTCCCTTCTCTCTCCTACAGCAACACTGACAGAGCAAAGTCTCTGTTATTTGCGTCTCTTTTCTCCAAATGCAAAATTTTTGCCTTGGCTCTCTCTTATTTTGTTATTCTCTCTCTTGTACCTCCGATAGCCTCAAGCTCTCTCAATAAGTGATTCTCTCTCCTGCCTAGTTGTCTTCTCTCTCTGCTACTCTACTTAAAAATAAAAAAAGGCCTGCTGATTTTTGTATTTGCTGTTATATATTCTTTGGTTCATACAACTACGTTGTTTATATACTTACCTTATGATCAATCTCCTCCAAAAGGAAAAAAAACTTTTGATCAAACAACATGAATCTCTCTTCTTCTTCCACTTTAGTTGACTCTTGTCCCTCCTCTTTTTTTCACCTTTCTCGTGCTTCTCATCCTTCTTTCGGTGTTTCCAACATTAAGAATTATATTAGCGAACAAATTGATTTCACTAATTATTTAGTTTGGGAATCTCTTTTCATCGTGGTTTTTCAAGACTGGCATTCTCGATCACATTGATGGGACCAGTTTATGTCCAGTTGAAACTCTACTTGAGAACGGGCTACAGGTGTCAAATCTAAATGTTGTTTTATGGAAGTAGGTTGATGCTATAGTATTTTCATGGATTCAAGCGACTGTCTCTTCTGACATCCTTTGAAGCCTGCTCAAACCCAATCTCTCTCTCACTACTAAAGACACTTTTGACTTGCTACCGAAGGCATATTCCAAATGAAGCTCACGGTTGGAATCCGAATTTTATAGTGTCTTTAAATCTGATCTGTCAATTAATGTATACCTCCAAAAGATGAAGTCTTTGTTCAACTCCTTGGTGGCTATTGACCATGAGCTCTCTAAAGGATATTTGGTTCTTCAAATCCTGGAAGTTCTTCCCTTTGATTATGAGAATGTTGTCATCTGTTTAAGTTCCCAGAAACTGCTACCCTCCTTTCGGACTGCACTATATCTCCGGGTGGTTCAACTTGCATGACGTCAAAAAGGGCCTTCATATTGTTGACTAACTTGAAACTTTATCCTGCTTGCTTCTGAGAGGCTAATGCATGCAATCCTCAGTAAGGGCATTATATTTTGCCAATGCATTTCTTCTTAGAAATAATAGTATATTGCCTAAATTTTTGTAAATCTTTCGAGCTAGTCTCAGACCCTGTCAAAACTAGTTATGTGACTAATGGATGGGATTCTCAAAATCTCCAGAACCAAAGGGTTTGCTAGTTTTTTATTTGTTTGGATTTACATTCCTCAAGCTATGTTTCCCTTGCAACAGCACCATTGAAGTTAATCCTCTCTGTAGCTCTTTCAGAAGATTTGATCGAGAAATTTCTTGGTCCATTTTTTCTAGAGCTAGGAGATTTACTTGCAGAAGCTAATAAGAAAATAATTGTTTGGTGACACGGAGAGGATGGAGATTTATATTTTAATCTGAACATAATTGATGCAGGTAGACGTAAAAAAATTTGGAAATGCCACATTGTTGCTTAAGTGGATGGGAGTAAATGCCCTCATCGTATATGCTTTGGCAGCTTGTGAAATTTTTCCAGCAGTTGTGCAGGGTTTCTATTGGCGTTCACCTAAAAACAACATGGTAACTTTCCTCCTCTTTTCTTGACCATAAGTATTGCAAGCAATGATTTAGTTACCAGTAAATGAACACAAACCTTTTACATCAAAATATTCAATTGTGCCTAACAGACGGTTGGTGGCATGAACTCTCAAAATTCATTGTTGGATAAACTGCTTCATAGTGATTAGTGGTTGTAGTCAATTGTATAGAGAAGTTACTGCCTGTCTAGACCTCTTTTCATTTAGGGGGTGTTTGGAGTGATTGTAATTTGTACTCTGAGTTCTACAAACGCTGTTAAAATAGTTTTTAATAAAAGTACTTTTAATTAAATATTATTTGATGTTAGGTAAAAATAATTGTAAAAACTGTTAATCACCTTAAAAAAACAGAAATTGTGTTTGGTGGAAAATGACTTTTGAGATTTCATGTATAAATTTTTATTAAAAATTAAAAATTATTTTGTAAAAATTACAAATTGTAATTATTATCTTTAAACGTATTAAAAACAGATTTTGATTTTAATTTCTTTTCATTTTATTAGTTTGATTGCAAAAGTACATTTGGAACTTATAAGTTAAAGTTAGAAGTCGCTCTAATCGCCCCTTAGTCTTTTTCTGTATTAGTACGGCGAAAAAAGAGGCAAAATGATTCAACAAGTACTAGCTTGTGAAAGTGTCATTTAGCTCGGCATTGGAGATGGATAGAAGTAGAACTCGGTAGATTTGTCTTTCTACTCATAGCATAACCATTGAGTTTTCAAAATGGTTGTTTGGAATTTGATCTCACAATGTCTGGTTGATAAACTCAATATTACATTCAGGTCGACTTGACAGAATCTTTCTTACAAGCTGCACTTAATTCGAGGAAGTGGGGTACCCTGGCATTTGTACTGCTTGAGATTCTATTTTGGTGCATGGTTGCTGGTTTTCTACATATGAAAGGTATATATATGAAATTGTAGAAATGCCACAAGGTTGCTTTGTAAATCTCCTGTGAATACAAAGTTTTACTATTAGGAACAGCATTTTATATCTTCAAATTCATATGGGTGCTATAGGTTTGTTCAGGAATCAGTTTATGCTGTGTATGGGCATTTTGGTTATAGTCAAACTTGGTTTATCACCTTTTCATCACTTGTTTATGTATATACAAGTGCACCTTTGTAACATGGGTTATAGGCATTACAATTTTAATTGTTAGACTACAATTATTTGAAACTGTTATTTTAAATATCTAACAGTTAAAACATTAGCATTTACAATTGAAGTCAGCAATTTAATACTAACACAAAAGTAATGCCTCCCAGTGTACATAAAAGTCTGTTTGGGTAATTGACGTTTAACACCTTCCAACTTTTGGCCTCTTTAGTCTGTTTGGGAAATTCAAAGATCAACTTGAAACCTATAATTATCATATGAAACACTATTAAATAGTACTTATTAGGCTATCTTTATAATAAGATTTAAAATTCATTTGAAATTTAATCTCGATTTTGAACAGTTTATTTTAAATTTTGTTAAATCTAATGAAATTTGAAATGAATTGTTTTATTTTGTATCAAATTTTTTGTAAACTTAATTTTAAACATCTTAAATGAAGTTTTACCATTTTTATTATTTAAATCTTTTATAAGCTTAATTTTTATAATTTTCAATGGAATTTTAATTGTTATAGTTGAAATAAATATTAATGTTAAAATAAATTTTACACTAGGAAACCTCCCAGGTATGTCAATTCCAATTCCGGCTACATAGTTTGGCTCTTTGTGTAATACTCGGGTTCGGAATTTGGTACAGAAATAATTTTAATATTTTAAATATATCAAAAAATTATTTTTAAATTAATTTATTTTAATTTTTGTTGAATTATTAGAAAAAAATAGGTTATGAGTGAAATTGAAAATAATTTTGAAAAAAATGGGTGGAAATTTAGATTTGATGGGTGTTTTTGAAAGAAAAATCGAAAACTGTAGATCAGAGTACAAATAAGAAAAATTTTGCCATATAGAACTGTCAAATCAACAATCCCAACGAACCTGAGCGTATCGCGTGGCAAGGTGCGCTGACGCGGGATGTCACTTAAGTGATATGCGTGCCCCGTGATCGAACGGTCTAGGATTGATCCCACGTGCGTGGACAGTTTGAATTTGTTCCCTTTTTAAACACGATCGAACAGTCGAGATCAAATTGCGATAAATGGTTTCAGATTCATTTATTCTTTAAATGTGATCGGATGGTCGAGATCAATGCGATGAACGACTTAAATTAACGTGAGATGAGCATAAATATTTTCGCATCACATTGAACCCAAACCATAGTC